AAACTGTACTATGAGAGGTCCAAGTCAGGAGAACATCAAAGTGTACTTTTGAGCAGGTGCAATCATCTCTGATACCTGACGGAGTTTGACGGCTGTATCCATGCTGCTTCATGTGCTTTCTAAACTTCCTTTTCAGTCTCACGGAGACCATTGAGAACCTCCAGACTCACATTGATGAACTTCAGAGGCAGGTGGAAGAGCTGAAGACCTCTGGGCAAAGCCACGTAAACTACGAGCAGCCCAAATCGGTCCAGAGTTTCCCATGCCTGAAAGAACTGTACGATCTCCGCAAGTAAGTAGTAAACTCACCAAGCGAGAATACGGAGGACCTTGAAAATTAATGTTGATCACATGCCAACATTCCCGCCAAAAATTCCCAATGGTTGGTTTCCATGCAAGGAGGACGCCGTGGCATGCTTTGATTGAAAATGGATGTTTGAAATGCTAAACTGATATTCCAGGTTTAAATAAATCTTTTTTACTTTGGGGCGATTTCTTCCGGATGTAATGTAACCATGCGATTAATGTTTTCAAATGCGATGGGAATGAGATTCCTTGGGCAAAAACAAAACTAAGCATTTCCTCTTCTCTCTTTCTGTGTATCCCTAGGTATTTTGTCTACGATCACATATTTGCAGAAAAGATTATATCAATGGATAGTCAACTAAGTCCCGTAGAAGAGGAAAACCAGAATTTGAAGAAGGCCGTAACTCTCCTGCAAACTCAGCTCAACGTGGAGAAAGAAAAGAGATTGTCTATGGAGGAAGAGTACGGTTTTCTGCTGAAGGAAAACACAGATCTTGAGCAACAGCTGGTGGACATCCATATGTACCAGGCGAGAGCGGAGGAACTGGAGACGGAAGTGGCCGAAATGAAGCAGCTCTTTCATTCTGGAAGCCCCTGTCCGAATAGAATGGAGCAACTGCCCCCGGAATCTTTTTTCATTTCCCTCAAAGAACCCTTAGAAAAAGAACTCAACCATGGTCCTTGGGACGGGACGTCCTTCATCCTTCCTGACCTTGAGAAGAGGTCCCTCAAAAGAAGCAGCAGCGAGAGCTTCCTTAGCAGCACGGCGGGCGAGGACCTCCTCTTCAGAGGCCACGAAGAGACCTGCATCAGGAGGGCAGAAGCGGTCAAGCAACGGGGCGTTTCTCTACTCAACGAGGTCGACGCCCAATACAACGCCTTGAAGGTCAAGTATGAAGAGCTTCTGCAGAAGTGTCAAAGGGACAAAGAATTGCTGGACCACAAGGCTGTGCAGACTTCCAGACAGCGTCCCAAAGATGTCCATGGTGGGAGCGTACCCCTCAATGGGGGTCTTAGGGAACCCGGTGCCCTGGCTGCTGATTCAGCCAACTTCTCTTCCAACGTGTCTCCAGAATATAAACTTCTCTTCAAGGAGATCTTTAGTCGTATTGAAGAAACTAAAAAGGAAATTGATGAACATCGGGCAAAATATAAGTCTTTCTCTTCTCAATATCCTTAAAAAGTACAGCGGGGAATCGAAATAATATTTCCCCCCCCCCCCCCCCCATGATGTCGTCCTTTTAATGTTTCTTAGGGAACAAGATGTAGTTTGGCTCAGGATTGGCAGATTTTCTGTAAAATGGGTTGTGGGTTGGATCCATTTGGTTCGTTCTACTGAGTTGGAATCTGGTTGATTCCCTCTCGCCCTGAGCCAAGTTCCCTCTGGAGGGAGAATCTCTCACAACCAGTTTATAAATTAATTTTGTTACGCAACTCAACAATTCTAGTTCTGCTGGGGGGAAAAAAAAACCTGAAGTGTTATAGAAATGAGAACCGCACAGGTTGCATATGCACAATAACAACTCTTCTGGACTTAAGCTACTTCCTGGGGTTGAAAACCAAAATATAGGTGATTTTTTTGGTAGTGTGCCATTGTCACATACAATTGCAATATATATGAGTGTATAATTTGGCTAATAAAACTCCTGGTGCGTCAACCATTAGAAGACTGAATATTACAAAACAGCCTCCACATAAAAAGTAAACTTATTAGCAAAGAAGCAAAATAAAAACAACAGAACCTCCAATTTCACTTTAACTTAAATCCATCCAGTGTGTCTTCAAGGATTTGATTTTCTGGAAATGGTCTACCACACATTCAACTGGAAGCCACATTGGTAAGAATTTAGATCAGCTTAAGCCCCAAAGTCACCTATTATCATATCAGCAAATACGCTGTATGTAGAACGGGCCAAATATATGCTGTGATAATATTTCATCCTTTTAAACAAACCTCCTGCAGAAACTCACATTTCTTGCAAGGTCCAATTACTCTGTAGTTTTGGAACAAGCATTTACTATTTTTGTCAGAAGAAACTCCTGGGAACGCAAGTGGAGAATTTAAAGCCTCCCTTCCCTTAGTTCTGAGTTTTTAAGAAAAATGAGAGCACGAAGTTCAATAGTTCTCTTCAAATTATACACGAATAAGTCAGTTGCCAATCAGCATCACAAAAGGTGACTTGTTTTTTTTCCCCCAAAGAAAAGGGATCTGTTTCATATTGTATTCCTAATTTAAAAAGAACTCGAGCTGCCTGCCAGAAGAAAAAAAAAAACCATAATTGCAGTTTTAAAACTCTTGGCTGCTGTTACAAATTCACCTGCCTTATCTACTGAGGGTGGCTTGTTCTGCTTCGATTAAGAGATTCCAGGTGGAAACTCGACTCTGCCACACGGTGTATTTCCATTTACTACCAGTTGTTTGGTCTTATTGGGTGTTTTGCAAAGGGCAAATAAATCCTGTATGCAATTAAGTTTGTGCTGGTTTCTGGTGGGTGCGTTTCATGTGCTTCTGGAAGGGTGCAGGAGAAGGGTGTAATAATGATGACTGCAGATGTGTATTATTTTAAAGAGAGGGTGTCCTGCTGAAAAAGGTGATTGTGCATCGCTTACTTTTCCTGGGAGGTCCTGTTCACAGTTACACCTTTGTCCTTTCTCATTTGGACTCTGTGCAATGTCTTTCATGTGCAGTTCCTCTTGAAGCACATTCTGAAGTACCTGATACCCCCAGAACAGAGGGGTTCAAGTAGTTATGGATGCTGGTTGAATGAACCCATGGAAGACTAGTTGACTCCCGATGCCAGATTGTCTTCTTGAAGGTTCTTTCTTTTGAAGGTCCTTCATGGTTTGGGACCACTTCTGCCCATCTGATAAAATTCAAGGGTGACCTTTGGGCTTCACCGCATCAATGGGACTTTGGAAGCAGATCTTTTATTGTGGCCCGGCTTCCATGAAATAAGATGTCCCTGGAAATTGGAATGTCCTCCATACTTTCCATCACCACCCTCTTTTGATGACCCTTGCGAGGTGGACTCTGGACAACTGGATGAATCTGCAAGTTTACTGGCCGGTGGAGTTTTGTTCAGCAGATACATGCCTCTACCTAGGATTGAACTCACAGCCTCCTTATTGTGAAGTGAGAGTCACCTCTAGGCCACCGGAGCACTCCATATTTATGCTGTTCCATAAAGTTATTAAATCTTGGCTGTTTCGGTAGATCTTTGGAGTTGAAAAATTGGAGAGTTTCTCTGGGAGAGGGGAAGTTGTTAAGCAATTTCTCCCAGGGCCATGTGTTTGTTTTTGATGAATTATGGTGACTCTAAACAATTTCACACATTCTAAAGTTATCCAACAAGACAAGTGATTTATGCCTTGATTGCCACAAGCTGTGAAACAAATTTAAAAACTAGAGTGCGGTTTTGGTTTTAAAGCTAGTGTCCTAAAGAAAGGGCGGTAGCTGATTACATATATGCCTACACAACACAAATTAATGTCTCATTTCTATGCAAATGGCTTACCTCGATTTTTATTGTGTCCAATGGCCACATTCTAATTTGAGAATATGAAGATCGTGTTGCAAAAAGATCATTTAAAAGTCATTTTTAAAAGACTTCTATACAGGTAGTCCTTGACTTGCGACCTCTCATTTAGAGACTATTTGAAGTTAGGATTTGGAAAAGTTCTGATCTCTAGGCCACCTGCAGTCTCATGACTACAATTTGTACCATTTCCAGCAAACATCCCCCAGCAAACTGGGTTTGGTTAACAAGGTTAACAACTACAAGTTTGCTTAACCACCATTGCAAAAAAAAATAATGTAATGACCGTCATAACTTACAGCCATAATTGTGGTCTCAATTACGGTCATAAAACTGAGGACTACCTATCGTTTCCATTATCTTTCATGTTCTTCAGAATATACTGCACTAATCTTCTATTTCAACCCGCAAAACGGGCTATAAGGGGGTGCCTGATGACTTGCTTCCCGATATGTCAACATTTTCACTCCCCATGCCCATGATGGAAAACCTATGGCACGCGTGGCACACAGAACATGCAAGTCCCAGGCAAATTTAACTCACTGCGCATGCGCGTGCCTGCCAGCTGATTTTGGGGCCTTTTTTGGCCTGCCAGAGGTTTAAGGGAAGCCTTTGCAGGCCGAAAAATAGGCCCGTTTCATCACTTCCTGTATTTCCGGAAATACAGGTGACCAAACAGGCCCATTTTTTGGCCTGCAAAACCTGCAGAGGCTTCCTTCAAGCCTCTAGCAGGCCGAAAAAGGCCTCAAACGGGCTGAAAATCAGTTGGGAGGCGCAGAGCAGGTAAAGGGGCGGGGGGGGGGGGGGAGAGAAATTGTACACGTATGCGCGGAGGGCATGGGGGAGGGAGCCCGCACATATTGCCTCTGGGTGCTGGTACGCGAGCACAATTTTTGGCACAGGAGCCCAAAAAGATTAGCCACCACTGCCCTATGCCAATTTCATTGAAGTATCTTTTTGCCCGACCCCGTGCAAAGCGAGAATGCCACCTGCTTCATTACAGAATAAAAACAGGAGTGGGTGGGTGGGGAATATATGACTGGGTTTAGCTGCAATGGAGACCCCAGCCTGCTTTGTTAAATCTGAACAAAGCCACCTTTGAAAAAGGAAACAGGGTACTTTAAAACCAGTTAGAAGGTTTGTTCTGCATCCGGCAAGTTTTATGAAACTCAGAACTGAACCAATCGATGCCATGCCCTCCAAGAGGTGTCCACGGTTACACAAAGAAACCTCAGAAGGGAGGGGGGCAGCGATGAGAAAGGAGACCGTACCGTGTAAAGATAAAATCCGGATCTCCACCTTCAAACTCGAAATTTATTGGCATTCATTATAAAATGAACCGTTAGATCATGATTTCATAAAACAGTTCAGCCACCCTAATAAGGATTGTTCATGTCGTGGTTGCTTCCTAAGTAAGGTTGAGAAATATAGATATTTAGGGATTCAAGTGAAGCTAGGGGAACATATACAGATTCCCCCCTCCAACCAGGATTAGTGGTTTGAATGTCGTTGCAAATTAGCTAGCACGGCAGTCTTCCTTTGTTTCTTTGTTCATCCTGGGATGAAACCGGATGCAACCAAAGCGACTCCCATCGTCAAGAAGTTGGCTGCTGGACTGTCCCTTTGAGGTACCACATGCCTCCTTGGCTTACACAACAATCCTGCAGGAAAAGGAAGAAACTGGTCAGACGTTTGGTTGCAATCAACCAAGCTTGCCCTGAATTTACATTCTGTAGCAACTTGAAGCCATGGAAAACAGAGTTGAACCCAGCTAGCATTCATGGCTTTTCAAAAACAAAAAAACACAGATTTTCACGCACGGTTTCCATTGCAAATTATACAACCCACAACCTTGAAGGAAGGAAGGAAGGTAGGTAGGTCCTGGTTTAAGGATGCTTCCAAAAGACAGCCAGGGTTAGAACTGATCTGGTGCTAATAGAAGGTTGGCTGGGGAATTCTGGGAGTTGAAGTCAGTGTGTCTTTAAAATGGCCACGGTTGAGGAAACACTGATCTGGGGTAATTACAAAATTCAGGACAACCTCCAGCTTCAAGTAGAGAAGATCAATAAATCTGTGGACTTATTTAGCAGTTATTTATCATCGTCTTCTTATAACGAAAATATTGTGGTGCTGTCAAGGCAATGACTGATATTCAGGGATCCTCAGAGACAATAAACAAGCCTCCTTCAAACATTTCCAAGGGGATTTGATGAGATCTCATTTCCCACCTCTGGGGGGGAAAAAATAATAGTCTGAAAACGCACAGTGCTTTTAGCTCCCTATCTGCCTGGAAGCGTGATGACAGGTCCCTCCAAAAACACGAAGTTGCTAATTGCTGCTATTAAATAATTAACACCGTGCCTAAAGATGAAAGCAAACAGAGACATGTGCCAGCTGCTTTTTTTTTTGCAAACATCTGGGCTCTGCTGTCTCTTCAACAGCCCTAAATCACTCTTGACTTTTGGTATCTATTCTAGACAGCATTCAGATCTGAAGGACAATCCCGATTCAACAACTCAAAAGCCACATACAACCAGGTACCCATTTAAATACCATGAGTGGCATAGACTGAAGTTCGCTGTGATGACCTGGGGGCGTGACACAAAAATAACAAAGTCACAAAAGTAGAATAAATTCCCTTTAATGCCTCCAACTTGGCCCCCAATGTCCAATTATCCTCAGCTGGATATTAAACTCTTCCAAAAACAGTTCTATGAAGGGAGTAAATTCAGTCCGAACCCAAAGTAAAGATAATTAGAAATTTTTTAAAAAACCAACACAAATCACACTGAAGTCATTAACACAGCAGGCCAGGATGATAAATTGCAGACTTCCACAAGATAATGCAGCAACCACAGCTGGGAGGATGTCAAAACCCAGATAAGCCTCAACAAAGATAATGCATGCTTTGCTTCCAGCAAGGAGCTGAGTGCAAACACCCCACTTATATCCTCTTCTCCCAGCTGCAACTAATGAAAGGGATCAGGGATCAACCCCATGAGTTTGGTCAACCTAGAGACCTGGGAACACTGATACCTTTGCAGGAGTGCAACCCAGGGCAGCTTCTGCGTTGCTTCACCAAATATAGAAAAAAAAAATTAATTAAAAATTCCTCCCAGCGCTTCAGGTCAACCAGCAGTTCTGTTACACAAGAGACTCAGGGGAAAGGGTGGACATAAAAGGCCGCGTCCCATGAGAATCTTCCTTGGGCTATCGTAACGCTAAATACACACCCTTAGTTCAGTTCAGAATTATAAGTAGATGTGCAGGTACGTACAGGTTCTCAGAGTGATTTTAAGTTTCGCCTCTAAAACAGAAGGGCGTTTATTTTTGCCCAGGGTCAGCGACTGTGGGTGGCCATACAAATTTAGAAACAGAAATAAATAGATTTATTTAGAAAACACAGATAGTGTCATGCCCCTGGTGGAGACTGACTCTGAGCAGTCAGAGAAGGACCCAGGCCCATCCCTTATCCATCCTAGGGCACGCAGGGAGGAGAGGATCAGGGTAAAATGTGGTCTACTTGGGAGGAGAGGGCCATGATCCTCTTCA